AATTTTTAACTGTTTTTCAATGTTTTAACTATTTTTGCATAGACTAAAGTACAAAGAAGTGAAAATTATTAACAGGCAATCGTTCGATGGGCTGAATTGCACAAAACGCGTGATCGCACCGGCCAGTCTGGTGCGCGTTGCCATTTATTTTTAATATATTTTCCACCTTGGTCAGATTTTATATACATCAAAATATCAAAAATATCTCTTCATGCCGTCGTCCGTCGGCTGGCACTTCTGTAAAAGCTGGATTTGCCGAGAGTTTCATTAATGCAATATGTCAGTGTCAATGAATGCGGGTTGTCTGTTGCAGATGTGCCGCCACCTCCTTATTCGCAGGACGAGTCGGCATCGATAGTGGCAGTGCCCATGGCAGCTCTACTTATCAAGGATGGCTCGCTGGGCTCGAATGGCTTCCACCCCTCGGTCGATGAGTACACGCAGGCCTGTCCAGTACCAGCTCCGAATAATGGCCGCTGTTTTTCAGGCCCTATCGCTGCTAGGCAGCAGCAGCAGTGGAGCAACCCGAATCAGCAGCATTGCGGCAGTCGACCTCTTTCATAGCGTTCCGCTTTCGCCGTGTTCCCTTTCCCCGTGCGTGTGTGTGTGTACGTGTGTGCTTGTAACGGTGGTGAAATCCGGTGATGTGCTGCACATTCATCTGTTAGTGAGTTTTGTTCCATTTTGTTTTGTTTTCCATTTTTTGTGGAAAGTATCACTCCATAGGAGCTATTCTCTCGTTGCTGACCGCTTCATTCTGAAGTTCTCATCGCAATTAACTTCTTGATTTGTCAATTACAGCAACTCTGGTTAGTAATCTGAAGTATTTGTTACGTTTAACATTTTGAACCTATATCTTAGGAGACCGCACCTCTGAGGAAAATAACCTGTAATCCATTGTTTGGACCATTTTTTAATATTTGCTCGGACTACCTCTGTAGTACGCTGATTACTTGCAACAGGCGTTTACTCACTCTGTTTTGTGCAGTTGGCAACTTAAAAGGAAACGCCGCTTGTTTGTCTGTTGGTTGTTTGAGCAGAGCTTTGTTCGGCAAGATTCTTTGATAAGTTATCTGATTGTAGCACCGAAGTACAGAAATGTGATAGGAAAGGATTAGTTTTAGGTAGTGCTGATCGAAATAGAGCGCGCCAGTGTTATATCTCTTTGTTCTTCTTATTGTTCATTGTTGATTTGCTTGCTTATGTCTATACTGATGATTCTTTTAGTATGTGTATGTTTGTGTGTGTGTGTGTGTGTATGTATGTGTGTGTGACTGTGTGTATGTGCGTGTGTGTGTGTGTGCGTATGTGCGTGTGTGTGTGTGTGCGTATGTGCGTGTGTGTGTGTGTGTGCGTATGTCCGTCTGCAGCCAACAGTGCATCGATTGTAAATACATTGTATATATATCTACTGGCAGATATTTTCCACTATCCTTTATTTATTGTTGCAGCTCTCCCTTTAACGTTGTTATGTTTCATTTTGTAGGTTTTGTGATTGCTGTATAATTTTGAAAATGTTCGCCTGATTGAAATGGGCTGTGTGCTCAGCACAGATGCTATATTCCTCGCTGGAATGCCAGGATCTTTTACGCTGTACGAGCAGCACGCTGCACTATAGGCACTTGGTCAGTTGTGTGTTTTTTATTGAAATATCTCATCTGTTCTCTTTCTGAATGCATGGCTGTAGATGTAATGCTTTTTACATCCTCATTTTCCCCTCCCTGTTTCCCCTCCCCCTCCTTCCTTCCCTGTCCATCCCTTATCCCAGCTTTGGTATGTTCCTCCCTATTACGGTCCTTTTATATTTCATTTTTATTATAGAATTTCAAACAGATCTTTACGCAGTTATCAGCATTTGTACTCTTCCGCCGCACAGCTCGAAGGGATTATGTGGTAAAGACGGATGAACCAGCAGTTTAACTTCATTCCGAAGTTCTCTAACTCTATTCACTGCTGAACTGCTTGTAGCATAACTGATCTTGGCGGGACGATAACTCGATGATGCATAATTTGCCCGTAGGAC